TTATTCTTGCCTCTCTGTGGGATGAACCTCTGTCCTCTGAGGTGAAACCCAGGCACAGCTGTAAGGGTGTTTTGCTCCTTGTGCACTGTACAAATTAGTCTGTCTCAGATTTGGCACTCTCCATCCTCTGCAGCCGTCCAACCCTTGCAAACACCTCACAATATGCTGCAAAATCAACTCTCCAGCGGGTTGCAACACGGTCCTCATGTATTTCAGGCACTTTGCATTTAAAACAGAGTTAAAAAAAAAAAAGGAAAAAAATGTTAATTATAACAGGGAAACACAAGGGGCCCAGAAGAAGCCTGAGCCAAGTGCTACATGAGGTGCACTTTGCAGTGCTGGCAAGGGCTGCTTGGTGGCAAGGCAAAGTTATCAAGAAGCATTCCTGCAAATCTTATCTGTAGCAGCTCCTAGGGGAGGTCCTGGTTCTGGGGAGGAATAAATAACTGTGTGTATATTAGTCAGAGATGGGCAGGTTTCCAATCCTCTGCTTGGGGCACAGCAGCTCCTGCTGCTTCCCACTGTTACAGACACTTCACCTATTCCTTTTCATTGCTCGTGTTCCCTGAACCATCCCTCTGCCAGCACAGGAAAGACACCTTTGAGCCTTCGTTATTTGCATTGCTGGATGAAGCAAAAAAAGCAGCCCTCTGTTTTAGAGTGGGGGGAGAATATAAATGATTAGTGCTTTGTCATAATTTAATTTGTGGCAAGTTTTCTATACAAAACTCAGCCAAGGCACTGGAATGGGCTGCCCAAGGAAGCTGTGAATGCTCCATCCCTGGTGGTGTTCAAGGCTGGGTTGAAAAGAGCCCTGAGCGACACGCTTTAGTGCAAGGTGTCCCTGCCCATGGCAGGGCATTGGAACTAGATGATCTTAATGTCCTTTCCAACCCAAACTATTCTATCTTGAAATACAAATCTGAATTCCCTTTTCTGAAAGGTCACATCACACAGCAAACTTGTTTCAGTGTCAGGATGCTGTTCCATCAGTGGACAGGGATGTACCTGCCATTGAGCTACCTGCCAAAAACCCACTGTTTGTTTCCTGCTGGCATGAAATGAAGCTTTGAGAAAGGTAAGGTGGATCACACAGGCTTCACATCCAGTGTGCCATCCCGCACGTTGGTATCAGATCTCTCTGTGCCAGGAGCAGTGTGTGAAACCGCATGGACCTTGCCTGGTTCATCCATCACTCTGTCAGACTAAGAGCAAACTCTCATAAGATAGTGACCAACAAAAAAAGAAGGGAAGATCTACTGATTAAGCAGAGCCAGATCCATCCCTATAACTAGTAAAATCAGTTTCATATCTCAGAAGCTACATGGGAAAGAAAGATAAAATGAAGCTTGTTTCAATGACCCAGCATTGCACCGAGTAGGAAAAGCCACAGCTATTTGATTGAGTCTGTTTGGCTGCCTGGTTAACCAGCTGGTAGACACCACAGATAGATACTCTGATCTTTTAACCAGAAAACCCAGCATCTCCAAACCTTCAGAGCCTCCCACCAGCCATATTAGCTCCAGATTCTCAGAACAGAGAGAAACCCAGCTCAAAAAAGGCATATGGGCCTTAAATTCCTGCTGATTGTTATGGCACTTTAGTACCTAGAAGCCTTATTGAACCAAGGCCAAAGGCAACAGTTCTTGCTGTGAGAATAGGACCAAGGAAGTTGTGTCTGCTTGGTGCATATGAGTCAGACCAGGTTCATGAAGAAGTAGGGAATCATCTCATAAGCCATTTCTGATAGCCAACCCTTTGAGGTGGGAGCCAGAGGCTAGGGTCTGTTCTCAGCTCTGCTATATGACCTTGAAAAAGTCATTTCCCCAAATGAAAGGGTGTGTATTTACATGGAGGCCCAATATGGCCATACTGAGCTACGAGGCAAAATGTCAATGCTATTTCTGAGTTCAATGCTTGGATGTGTAGAGATCCATCAAAGCACAAATTTATCACTGCCTATCTCTGAGCTGAGCAGAGCAGATCATCAGCTGGGGTGATTAGAACAAAAACCTTCTGTCACAGCCCTTCTCCATCACTAGATGTTTTCTCTCCAAAGGTTGCTGCATGCCTAAGACAATGGCACCCTTGAGGGAAGGGTGTCATGGTTACAAAGCACAGGTCCCAGAGCCTGAATTTACCATTTCCATCCTGGCATAGCTCCATAGAGAACAGGGAAATTCTCCTGCTTTGGGAATGTAGGTCTGGAAAGGATCTCCTGCCACTGGCGAGCAGCACTTTTCCTCCATCATAAATGTAATTGAAACAGGGTCCCAGCTTTCACCCCCATTAGCCATTTAACCAGCAGTAAATTGCCCTAGACCACGAAAGCCTGCCAATGGCCTTGCACTCACCTGCCTTGGTTTCCCTTGCTTGGGAAACCAAAGCAACTCCATCTCATTCCCAGGCCACTTTGGATTCACGTTAATGTAACACCTTTGAGTCAAGCACACTTACTTACATCAACGTGTCAGTGATGGCAGAAGAGATTCAGAGTAGAGTCCTTTTGAAACTGCTGTGTTAACATGGGCAAGCAAAACCCTGCAGACACTATAACAGCTTAATACCTATGCTCCTATTGAGGAAAAGTAGTTGTGAGTGTTGTGCCTCTTATGGTACTGCATACCTGAAATCTGAGTATTTGTAATGGTATGAAAATTACATACAGAATAGGAAAGTTAGAGCTTAATTATTGTGATTCCAAATACCAATGTTCTTTCCTTAATCTTTACTATCAGAGACGAAGGAAAATACCCTTGGTCTGCACGTCTCATCTGCAGAAGAAATTAAGAGCTGTATACCTTTTTCGTGAAAATATGTGAAATCTCGATGAAAATAGATTAGAGGTTTCATGGCCCACAACTGCAGCTCAGAATTAGAGGTCTAAACTGGAGGAATGTTGAAAATAGACATCCTGCTATGGTTTTGTTTGTGCCCTAGGACACAGATCCAACACTAGGACTGAATGATCATCTCAGATCAGCATCCAGTCAGAATACATCCCACTGAAGCTTCTCGGGACAAAGCTGTTGGTCCTGATGCAAGTGAGACCTTGATTACCTTCAGTGCACAGACAGCAGCGTGCAGTTATAGCTCCAACTTCAACAGCACTTCAGAAAAGTCTTTGTTTTTCTGAATATTTCTACATATCCAAAAATAGTAAGAGCAGTAATGACAGCTAATGGGTCTGGCATTTAATGAGTTCCTAGATGAAGAGCCCTTAAGCTCTCAGATCTTCTAGTAGGTCATTAACTGTCAGAAATGATCTAGTCATCTATTTTAGGGCTTTCTTTTGGACTCATTCCTGTGACATTCATATACTTCAAGGGCCTGAGCCTGTTGCCTGCACTTCTCACTGATCTCGGTTGTACAGAATCAGGTACCAGGACCCTAAAGAAACATTAGTAAGTCACAGTGCTGTCAACACAAGTGATATTCCTACAAGTCCTGTAGATCCAGGTGCTTCCTCAGTAACAATGAGGGCTCCAGGTTAGTTCTCTGGGGAGAAACAAAACCCTGATGCACCGAAAAGGTGGAGCTGAAGAAACCCCATTTCCTTCAGAGGTTCCCTCCCCAGCACACATGGCTGTCTTAAAGGAGAGGAGATGGCTGTTCTGCTGAGACAAAGAGGACACGCTGGTAGCAACTCATGGAACAGTACTGGACATGTCCTCACTAGGAAATAAGGCAAGTTTGTGTTCAGATCTCCTACTAGGTATAAGATAACAGGCTTGAACCCAGCTACAGACAGTGGAGAGAAGCTGCAAGTTCTATGATAGTCACCAGTACTACATCCTTTGAACATGACCTTTTTCTATGTGTCATAGAAACATGGAATAGTTTGGACTGGAAAAGACCTTAAAGCTCCTCCAGCTTCAACCCCTGCCACAGGCAGGGACCCCTTCCACTAGAGCAGCTTGCTCCAAGCCCCTGTGTCCAACCTGGCCTTGAACACTGCCAGGGATGGGGCAGCCACAGCTTCTCTGGGCACCCTGTGCCAGCGCCTCAGCACCCTCACAGGTTGTTGTTTCTTCCCTATTGCTTCTTCCCTACAGTTAATCTAAATCTCCCCTCTGTCAGTTTAAACCCATCACCCTTTGACCTATCCCTACTTGCTCTTCTAAAGACATATAAAAATATCTTACCTAAACAGCAAGATCACTTTTTCCCCACTATCTCTATATGAAATCAGAGTCTGGAGGCTCCAGAGAGAAGACACCGTGAGTCAATATTTGATTCTTTATTTTATAACACCTATAGCAGTTGAAATACATCCTCAATGCTGCTCCTTACCATCACTCCACAGCACAAGTGAACTGGGGCAACTGCACATCCTTGGCCAGAATCCCAATTGGTAGAAACTAGCATAATTTCCTGGCACTGGCAACACTTCTGATTCAGAGCAGCCAAAGGGCTGACCCAAGAGACAAAGAAAACCCACAAAACTGGTAGTTTTTCCTCTAGAAGAGATGCATGCTTATATTGCCTCTGCCAGTTCATGACTAAGAAATACATCTGTGTCAATACTGAGAATAGAGAGTGGTTGCTTTTCCCCCACCCTGTTGTAACTCCAGTGCCTGGATGAATATATCAGGAAACAGAAGACGGGTCCTGTCACTCACCATGGCACAATCCTCTGCATCCTTTGACTTTGCTTCGCCTCAATCACTATTTATCACAGCAGTTGTGTCTTACCAGAGAGTATTAGGTCCTGCTAATATACAAAGGCTACATCTGCATTAGTAAGTCAAACAGTGTTAGGAGCTTTTTCAGGCATAGAAACACCACTATCTATACCATTATGCTCATACAGTGGTCTCAGGCGCAGTTTTAGGCCAGGTCAAATGATGCTTTTGTGAACAACATCTGAACAGGAACCAGCCTGAGCAAGGGACCATCCCCAATATGCAGCTGGGATGCAGCCACCCTGTTACAAAGGATGCGAGAGCCCAATAGCGCAGACACAGATTTCACCACCGGAAAACAATGCTATGCGTATCTAGTTTTCTCCTATAAACATAGCTCAAAAGGTTTATTATCTTCGGGAAAGGAAGAGAAAGCAAAGAGTATTTCAACATTCAAAGAATGTAGTGGGGGGGGAAAGAATACCTGGATATTTTGAGCATCCAAAAAAAGTTTCTTAAAAAATAAAGATACTGCAGAAAACTCAGTTTTCCAATGAGAGTATTAATCTTATGGTATTCCCAACATCTTTGACAAATTTTACTGTAACACTTCAGTTGGCTAAACTGGTTTTCAGGCAATGACACCCACAAACACCCCTTATTTCCACAGGGACAAGAAAAGACATCCAAGCCAGGAAGTTCTCAGAAGGCAAAGCCAGCCGGCTCCAAGCCCAGAGGATCCGGGAATACTCAGCTGACCTCTTGCTTGCCCATTTTTCCCTGCAAGATATCACAGTCCTTCAGGATGGAGATTCCCCACCCCACCCGCAGTCTGTCCTGGGACTTAAGTGTCCCCCAGTTCACAAGCTCACCCTCCAGTTCACCTCAGGCATCCTTTGCCACATTCTTTGTCCTCGTCCATTGTCCAGCCACCACAGGCGTAGCGGGTTGTTGACCAATTTCCTGCTCTTTACAGTAACTTGTATACACGCAGTTTATTATCTGCTGTTAATCCCAAGCTTTCCCAGAGCTGTTGCCTTCCAAGACGTTGTCTCCTTTCGTAAGCTCTTTCAAAGTGTAAACTTGCCCTTGGCTGCCTTAACACAATCAAGAGAAGATGTTTCTACCAAGTCATCACAATCACCTCGTATAACTGTCCTGTCCATACTTGACCTCTCTGCCAGGATTGCACCATCTGAAAGGCTTTACCAGGAACTTTATATTTTCCTCTAGATAATCATAGGATCATGGACAGACCCCAGTGGACTGAAAAATGTTTGTCTGAGTAATGGGTTATGCAGTATCCACATGAATAACACCCAAGAAGGAAACATGCATTTCCACACCACACAGAGTCCTCTCCCCACTGCTCACATGTACTGGACAAGCTTCTTTGAATTAGGTCTGAACTTTCATAACGCTTCTTCTTAGGGTCGGGTCATACATTTCAGCTCAACTTTTGGCTAAAAGCAGCTGATTCAATTTTATTGAAATAGTGTGTCAAGTTCAAATCATTTAAGAAAATTGATGTGATTATATTGCTTTAGCCTCCCATTTAACAAAAAATATTAAAAAATACCATATTTCTTAAACAAAGCAGTTTAGTTCAAACAAATAGTTCTAATAATGTTTTTAAGCTAAAAATGGATAATAGTTTTTTTTTAATATTACAGACCTTAAATGACTTGCTAAAATACCCCATATCGTTCACATTTGTGACGTTTGGTTGAACCACAACTTTCCTCTTCCGTTTTCTAACTTCTCCAGTGCGAACCTTTCCGAATCAGATTGCTTTTGTGCCAAGAGGACACTATCCCCACGCTGACACTAGGGAAAGAACAGGCACCAGTAAAGCAGAAATGTCAGCAAAAGCAGATATTTCCCACAAGATTTGCAAAACACATCTCAACAGTAAGGGCCAGAGCAATAACAGCATTCGTTCTGATTTTCCCCCTGGGTAGGACTCATCAACTCTAACCTCAGTGTAGCTGTGGTGTCACAACTGCTCTGATCTTAATTAGGTGTTCTTCAGCAGAGCTGTTGGAGCCTGGGGAGTGTTGTGCCTTGTCCTGAAGATGCACATACTGGTCTTCACAGGCAGCAGTACTGGTTTAGCCCCACTGCCTACCTCTTCCTGCTCCCTGTGCTTCCATGTGCTGTTAAGCACATGGCAGCACCAAAGACCCAAGTGATAAAGGCAGGGCCCCAGCCTCCATGGTTTGAATCTCAACACTGTCTAAGCATTTAATCCCTCTCTGGGTTTGTTGCAGGCCCTGGTATAGGTATTTGATATGCACACAGTCCCTCATCACTGCTATCAATCATCATCCAAGAGATGATCTCTTACAGGATGTGGTCCATAAGAGAAAGATGGAGAGGAAAAGCTGTTGCATATCTCCATTGGACAATACTGTCCCAACTGGGCTTCAGCCCCTCAGCTTCTGTTCATTTAAACCTCAAAAACATCAGTCTTCTAATCCTGCTCAGTCCCAACAGCACTGGGCAAGAACAGTGCTGCTCCCACAGAATCTGAAGCCATCCCCAGTGGCTCCATCTTTCAGATGAGCTAGGAAGATGCCCGATTTCTTTCAACCCTGCCATTCAAACAGCTAGCTTGGAGGGGGAGAGCAGCATAAACATGCTCTTAGATTTCATCTGCAGCCTGTCACAGTCTGCTACTTCCAGCAGCCCATGAGGTAAATGACCTTTCTAGCTTTAAACGAGATGGGTCTGATGAGCCCTTCACCATCCTGCTTCCCATCCCACCTTTAATCCCATGCACCGTCTTGCCAGAAACATGATGTTCATGTCATGATAAGGGCAGACAAGGCTCTGAGAAAGTCTTTACAAGTCTGCTTGAAGTTTCAGAATTGCCTTGAGCAGGCAGTGATCCTAAACACACAGCAGTGGGTGGGGGGATTTCCAAAGCTGCAACCATGTCACTGACAGCGCAGTGGCTGGTACCGGAAAGCATCAGTGCTCATCACTACTATAACAAATTACTACAAATGCCCATATTTTAGGGGAAGAGATGAAATCATGCAAATGAACCATGTTCCCTGGCTAAACTTTACTTGCAAGCTCAGCTACAGGTAGGTGTCTTTGAAATGGATATGAGGTGAAGTCCCTAAATATTCCAGAGGCTGGTTTGCCTCTTCATTCGCCCCATTTCACAACAACAAACAATGAGAGGGCTTTGTTCATTTAAACACAGGAGAAAAGTAAAAAGAAGTTATCTCTTGTAGCCTTTGTCTTCAGGACATTGTGTTTATAGACTCGGCTTGCTCTTTGTAGGCATTAAAAAGTCAAAACTTTGCTCTTATTTCATTACCATTAATTTGCTTTATGCTCAGAGATCAGAGCCCATCTTACAAACGCAGATGTACTCCGAGATCAAGGCGCAGGTGTTAGAAACAAAAGGTATATATGATATTGCGCAACATAAAAGATGAAGAAATAAGAAAATGAGTTTTTCTGGAAATTTCCTGTTTTCTGTCCTTTGGAAAAACACAGAAATATACTGTAGGACAAAACACGTATCTTGGTTAGATCCATCTTTCACAGCCAAACCCATCCTGCCTCCCAGAGCTCAGCTCCAAGCACACATCCAGGCTGCATAAGGTTGATGTGGTTGCAAATAGAGAAGAAACAGGTGGATATTTTGGTGAAGGGCATTAAACTTGGCCTCTTCAGTCCCATGGAGTCCACTTTGCTCCACAAGACCCATAGCTCCATGGATTACTCTATCAGACTTCGACTTGCTTTTAAAAACCCTGCGCCTATTTGTTTTCTCTCCTTAGTTAGAAAAGGGATTTGGGGGGAAAGGAGGTCTTCCAAAGTCTTCTAGTGGAAGGTGTCCTTGACTCAGGCAGAGGCCTGGAATTGGATGAGCTTTAAGGTCCTTTCCAACACAAACCATTCTAGGATTCTGTGATTCTAATTTGAGCTGCTTTATATTTGTTAAAGACTGAAGCTGTTGTCAAGCTGCAGAACTTATACTCCCAAGAGTCTTTAGAAAGAGCTATCTTTCTCCTTTCCAACAGTGCCACTCCTTATAGACTAAATAAACAAGAAATAAACTTCCCAGCTCATACATCCACTAGCACAGGTGACTGATTAGTTTGGGGAAGAGAATTCAGCCTTGTCCCAACCAACTAATGCTGCTGGCATGATTTCAGGAGGAGCCATTGTAAGCCCTTGTTAAACCCTGTGCTTCAGCCACTGCTAAATTAATACGCTGTGACTATTTCAGGCACCACTTAGGAGGCCAGGCTTGAAGAGTTCGGCTTGTGGTTCATCTTGGGGGAGCAGGAAGAGGAGGGAAAAGAATGACAAATTCAAAATGAAATCAAACAAGAAGAACAAAAATAAAAGGACTCAACAGCCAACCCTTCACAATGGCCTGCTGGGAGCTCGTTCCTTTTACTTCTGATTTACAAGTTACATATGGCGGGCTGTTTACATTCTGTTACTGGTTTATGTTCTTCCAGAAAGGAGAAATTCCTCTAGTAGGGTTTGATTGCTTTCCTGTATGCCTCTCTCCCCCAGCACCCCCACCCTCAAGTGTCTGGTTTCGCTTAATATGCCCAGAGGTTTCCGGAACAAAAGAGGTTGTTGGATTTATATTTTTTTTTCTTTTTTATGGCTAAACAAAAAAAAATGACTATTTTTCCAGGAAGATTCAGGCTAATTCACACTATGTGATTGTGAATCCATGCTTTCAGGCTCTGTTAGGGCAGCCATGTCTTCATGTGTCACGCTAATGTACCACATGCAACAGCCAGAGGCATCCCAGTGGAAATCATTTTACCCATGTCTTCGGTTACATTTGCATTGTGGATTCCCCAGGTTGAAGTAGGATTCCATGTCTTACAGTGCAGCTCTACACACTCAAAATCTCCATAGACAAGCAAAAAGAGCATTACTGCTCACAGAGTGAGGAAAAAGGAGAGAGGTCTCTTGATTTTCCAAAGAATCTGAAGCAGAGTTAAAGCTGCCTCAAGAATCACTGAATCTCACGTTATGCTCATGTTACAGCAGGGATTATCGATGAGAAAACTGCCTACCCAAACAGTTTGTTCCTTAAATTCTTGTAAACAGAACATTTATTCGTTGAAGCCAAATCCATTTGGTGTGAATTCCAGTGGAATTCGCATCCTGGGCTGGATTAGTGAGACTAAGGCAGCAGGTCCAAGGACATAACCCTTCCCTTCCATCTGGCACTTGTGAGACCATGGGTGGAGAACCATGTCCAGGGTAAGAAAGACACAGACATCATGGAGAGAAGCCAGTGGAAGTCCTAGGATGGTTGGAGTTCAGGAACACTTGCCCTGTCAGGAAAGCTGTGAGAACCAGCTCTGGTTCTGGGATACCTTACTGCAGCCTTCCAGTACTTAAAGGGGACTTAGAAGAAAGATGGAGCAAGACTTTTTACCAGAGCCTGTTGTGATAGGACAAGGGGTAATGGTTTTAAGCTTAAAGAGGGTAGATTTAGAGGGTGGATATAAGGAAGAAATTCTTTACTCTGTGATTCTATGGACAGCTTTAAGAAGGGAAGGGACAGGCAAGACCTTACCGCTCCTAACAACTACCTTATCATAGGTTACACTAAGCAGACTCTTCTTGGAGGTTCACAGTGACAGGACAAAAGGCTATGGGCACATGTTAAAACGTTGGAAGCCCGATTATATTTAATGACTTGTTTCATTTTACCATGACAGGTCAAATGTTGGAATACTTTCATAGAAATGGGGCCAACTCCACCTTTGAAAGTGCTCAAGACTCAATTGGAAAAGCCCCTGAGCAACCTGATCTATTAGGCCTGGTTTGGGCAAGGGTTTGGGCTAGATGACCTCCAGATGTGCTTTCCAACCTGAACTGTTCTATGAGTCTATGAATCCTAATTTCTAATGTCTTTAATGACCAGGCCAAGTGCCAGTTTGGCATTCCTTTGCAGGCTGAAAAGAGAAGTTAACTTGTGGCTGAAGAGCTGGCTGCGCACATCAGGCAACCTCCTTTCAAGCCCTACCATTTTCCAGTCTGATTGGGAAACAGAAAAAAGAAACAGAGCAGATATTATGGTATCCAGAGCTGAACTTCCCCATACATTGTCACTCGACTCATCTCTAACAGCCCCTTTCTTCATCACCCAGCAGTGCAAACATCCACTTCTCAAAAGAAGGTTATAGACCTTCTTCAGTCCTGTTCAACAGGACTGTTCTGGAAGCTGGACATGGTTCTAAGCAGAGATTACCATGGCCATAAAATCAGTACATTTAGAGCTAAGACAAATTATCTGAGGGTGATTTTTCACACCCCAGATAAAATGTAAAGCCACTCACTGCCAGCTTGGCCCACCTTTCCAAAGAGGGAACTCAAAAGTGAGGTACTGTTGGGAAACCAAAAACATAGACAAACTTCAGGAAACACAAGCAGCCATTTCTTTAGCTCAATGGGAACTGAGTTTGGCTGCCTTAGCTCCGGAAAAAGACAAGGATCTTCACATATTGCCCCAAAGACAGTAATAAAAAGATAAAAGAAAACTCAAAGGAACAATGTTGCAGTGTGTGTGCTTAAATATACATGCTTAATTATACAAAAGAAGTCTGGTTTAAATAAATTGTCCTGCTTATAAATTTAATGGAACAAGCTTTTTGACAACCAGCAACATTTGTGATGTACAATCCCAGAATACTAAAAAGATAAAACACAATCTGAGTCCACCAAGAGGCTCTTTCACCCTGTACCCTGTCTCTGACACTAGTCAAGAGCTAAGGAATTAGGGAGGAAA